TATATAAGCCACACCTGATTATAAGCCACACTTTGGGTTCGGACCAAAATTTTAGTTAAAATGGTGTCGTTTATAATCGTGAAATTACTGTAATTATATTATGTTCATTCTCTTTGGTGTTATGTTCTTTTTATTACATATAGGACAGAACCGTGTTGTAAAAATGATTCTTACTGATGTCTCAATTCAATGAATTCTTGTCAGGAATTTTCTTTATAATCTGAACAAAAGTAAGTTAATTTGTCGTTACGCTGTGAGGATTGAAATATTGATTTTGTTTACTAACACAGTTTTGCTCCCTGCCAGCTAAGTGCTCTGAGAGAGATTTACCACCACTCTTTAGCCTTCCTAGCCCATCTCCCCTTAGCTGGTGCTTTTGGACAAGTCAGGTGCGCATCTTGTATTATTTACAGTTACTTTGAACTTAATACAGAGTTTTTTTTCTCAGTCCTGTAGGCTTCTGCTCTTGTGGTTGTTGGGGCATGTGGCAGGTCAGGTTGCACTTCACACACTCCCTAGAGAGCAAACTAGACATCAGTTTTCTTCTCCACACCTCCTACCTTCTTCATTACACCAGGAGGGTATACTGTAGGATTCCTCTCAGCAAATGGAAGAGGCAAAAAGGCAGCGTAGAAATCCAGTCCTTAATATTCCATAATAATGAAAAGCATCTTGAAAGGGTAATAAAGAGAGAATAGATGTTAAGTTTGTAAAAGTAATCACATTGATACATTATGAAGATACTAGAAATACAAGAGCTGAAATGCTGAAACTGAGAAAAGTGAGGTTTCTGTAGGTACTAACACAATTCACAGGAAGTGCTGACCCAAGAGTGTGTATATTACTCCTACTTTTGAAATTTTTCATGTTCTCCATTTTTTTCCTAACACTAAAAGCTCTAGCAGAGATTTTTGTGGTGACTAGGAATTTGATTATTTTAAACAAATCACCTGTGCTTCTTTAAACTAGGATTCCTATCAGTATGTACCCATATAAAGAGGTCTGATTAAAAGCAAACAAAAAAGGTTGCTGAACAAAAGCACTGATTCAGCAAGATTTTGAATACTCTGACTCAGTTCCATGTCACACAAACGCAACCAGAGGTTTAATTGTATGACTTAACATAGATAGAATTGCTCATGTGTATAAAGTGCTTTGTGCTTAATTTTGTTAGTGCCAGCTGCTTGGCACTTATTGGGGTTAAGACCTTTGATCTTGTTCCTCTTAATATAGGTGTTAGTTCAAAATAATGAAAAGCAGCATTTTTCAGGAAAAGCAAGGAGAGGTACTAAGTTTCTTCAATATGTAATGGAAATATTTTATATGCAAATAGAATGAAAGAGAGGATGTGTTGCTTCTGAATTATCTACACTGAAAAGAGGTCTTTTTGAAGGTACCAGGCTGGTACTTTTTATATTTATTTATTGAAGGAGTTTGTGTATGAAATTTCTTTTCTTTCTGAAACAACACAAGCATTTTCATCAAACTGATCTTTTAGCAATTCAATACGTTCATCTGAAAATCAAGGCATTTGATTGAAAGACAAAAAATGGTTGGGTGAGTTTAAGTTAGATATTGAAAAGATTCACACAGGTAATGTATAAATGAGTAAAGAAAGAAACATCGCATTGATATCTAGTTTAAAACAAACACATTTGATGCTCCAGCTGTTTATCCTGTGTCAAATAATGCTAGTGGACCAGCAGAAAAATCATAATCATAAATTATGAGAATAAAAATTCTTAGGTTTATAGCTTTCAATGTGTGTGTACATGGAGTACTGAAAATGCTTTTAGAACATAGAATTGTATGCAAAGAGTAGAGAAGTAAAAGTACTTGAGAATATAAGTTTTAAAGTTTTTCTCAACAAATTACAGATGACTGATGTCATTGGGCATATAGAATTGCATTAATAATTATGAATTACATATCTTTGGAAATTATGCTACTCATTAACTTATAAAATCAATGTTCTGCAAATTTGCCACTTGGTGGTGCCAAATTGATGTATAAATCACAGATGTGAGCTGAGACAAGCTGTTGAAGTTGTTTCTGAGGAGTGTACACTAAGAGATACATAAATTAGGCAGAAAACTTTGATTTTGTGACAGTACTGGTACAGCTGTACTCTGCAGCACTTCTGGCAGTCATTCCTCAAGCATTCCTCAAGCCCCATATCTTGAGTACCTCTCTGTCCCTCCAGCACAAGAGAGAGTAAGTGCAAAACTACATCTATGAGAACAGAGTTTCAGGAACATTTCTTCCATACCCCATGCACCTGGCGAAAAATAGTTTGGATCCAGTGATATTCCAGGCATGGTGCAGGATATGGCTTTGGGGTTTCTGGAGGCACTTGCAGGTGCTGCACTGCTGCTTGCAGTATTTTTTTTTGTAGGTGTTTCGCTGGAGTAGTTCCTGTACAGTTGTGGTTTTAACACTGCCAGGATTTCCACAGGTTTATCACTGAGCTCTATATCCTTGAATTGAAGGGTCATGATTATCCTAAATATATATCTATGCAAAAAGACTCATGATTAAATTAACCTTCCTCCATGTCTCAGTTGCAGGGTGACTCTTCAGCAAGCAAGAAGTTTCTGTTTTTTTAAAGTGTCTTAATTTGTCACAGTGTTTCAGTGTTATCAGTGTTTAGCATTGCAGAATTTTGCACCTGACTTAATGATTTCTTTTTTTCTTTTTCTCTCTTTCAATACTGCAGTTCCAAAAGAATTGGTGGAGCTTCACTTGAAACTGATGAGAAAGATTGGGAAATCTGTCACAGCAGACAGATGGGAAAAATACTTGATCAAGGTACTATGTGCATGTTGTATTATTCTGCAATGCTGGAATATGGTTGTGTGAGCAAGCCCTAGTATATTGACACACATGCATCAGATCCCAGCTTAACTTGCAGTCTGCCTAGGCTTGTGGGAAAAAAGTCTCTGAAAATAGGCGCCATATTCTGCATGTGGAGGAGTGTCCACCCTCATAATTGTCAGGAAAATACTTTCTTGAGTATTAAGATCCTAAGGAAAGAAGATTTAGTAGCCTGCAAGTGGGTTAAATTGAGCAGAGATTTATATGGTAGCAGTTCATTTGTATATCACTTGTCCAAATATGATTTAATTACAGTACAGTAATTTCACGACAATAAGGTGCACTGGACTATAAGGCGCACCCCCCGGGAGTCAGCAACTGTTGCAACTTTGTAGATCATATAAGGCGCACCGGACTATAAGGCACATCTTTTCTTTGCAGCGAGGATCCACCCCCCAGCCCCCCCACGTGTTTGCTGGCTGAGGCCCTGCCTCAACCCAGCCATGGGTCCCCGGGCCTACCTGTATCCGGCAGGGCTGGGCTATACCTGCCACCATTGCGTGCAGCGGCCTCGGGGCCGGGCTATGCCTGCCGCCACTCCGTGCAGCGTCTCCGGGGCCCCACTGCTCTGGGAGTTCCCTGGTGCTCCGGGTGCCCCGATGCCAGCGGGCTCACCCTGCGCTGCCGTTGCCCCGATGCCGATGGGGCTGCCTCCCTGATGCTGACGGGCCCATGCCGAGCCGCCGCCGCCCCTATGCGGGCGGCTTTGACCCCCCGCCCAGGCTGTGCCGCCGTGCTTTTCCCGCCCTGCACGGCTGCCGCCCCGATGCCACTGGGCTCGCCCCGGCCCAGCGCTGGCCTGATGCCACTGCCGGGAGGGCTCTGCTCGGTTGGGGACTGTTGCAGGCTCGCACTTCCGGGGTGGCGAATGTCGCAACTTTGTACATCATATAAGGCGCACCGGACTATAAGGCGCACTTCTGGGTTCGGGGGAAAATTTTAGTCACAAAGGTGCACCTTATAGTCGTGAAATTACTGTAATTTCATGATTACAAGCCCCATTGATTATAAGCCGCATCTCCGGGTGTCGGCAACATTTCGTTCTTTGTCCATACACAAGCTGCACGTAGTTATAAGCTGCTCTGTCATTCGCAGCCAGGACCCACATGCAACAAAGTTGCCAAATAGTAACAGAATTGCGGGATCGCAGAGTTTACTGGCTCAGCTTGGGCCATGAGGGCTCAGCCCGCTCGGGGCTGCCGACTGGGCCGGGCAGCCCAGCTTGGCTCTGCTGCTCGGTGGGGTTGCTCAGGGCCGGCTGCCGCCGGGCTTGCTCGCCCTGGCCCGGTGCTGCCCCGTGGTGGCAGGAGGGCATGGAGCCCGCTGGCACCTGCAGCGGCAGGAGGGGAAGGAGCCAGTCGCCTCTTCCCTGGGCCACGGGGCCAGCAGGTGCCGGCATGGAGGCCAGCTCCACCCGCCGCGAAACAGAGTAACCAATTTGTAACAATCACGTAAACCCAGGTTTTACTGGCAGGTGCTCGGCTCGGCACCTCGGCTAGCACCTCCAGGGTTGGAAATGTCAGAAAATTATTCACATATTAGCCGCTCCTGAGTGTAAGC